GTGTCAAAGATTTATGGCGGTATTGAGGAACCATTTAAATACCAGCCTCCATTTCTGAGAATCTGCAGTAGCATCTCTGCATTATTAGCTAAATCTTCGTAATACACGAGTCATAAACTCATCTATTTAAAATCAGTGTTAAAAACCATTTCGGTCGAGATACACGGTGCATGCCAGTCATTTTCCTGAGTCATGTCTGTGGATGTATTAAGCGCACTGAAATCCGAGGAGAGCAGAATGATACGGTGTGGATTCGAGTTATATTCAAGAAAATGTAGCTTTTTTTTCTCTCTCTCTTGCTAGAAATTTTCCCAAACTTTATTTAGAGACGCTATAATTACAAGGAGGAATTCTGTAGGCTCACACTGAGATCTTGAAACTTGGGGCAGAAAATGTGACACAACTTTGCTCCGTATTTTTATTTCCATTCAGTCCCGATCTCTTAAAGTGACCAATCACAGCAGCCTGGAATATTATATAATCATGCACATGACCCACCTGGCCTGATGTAAACGAGGCTTCCTTTGCCAATCCTGTATGATTCAAACTTATAACAGATTTGTAAACAGAAACACTCACTAGCAACACACACACACACACACACACACACACACACACACACACACACACGCACACACACCTGCATGAAGAGTATGAAGGCTTGTAGAAAGGCATATCATCTTCTCCTGAGTTCTCCAAAACCCCCCTGCATGTATCTCAGACACACTCGGATCACTTACTGTGCCCTTGGCCGAAATCGTAGAACTCCGCGGCGATGCGCGCCGCCTCCTTCCGGTTCCCCTTGACCACATAGAAGTGCGTGAGGATGTTCAGGCTGATCTTGACGAAGAGCTTGAAGCAGAACAGGGCGAAGATGGACAGGTAGACGTTGGTGTACTTCGAGCCGAATGGCCGCTCCTCCAGAAAGTCAGTCATTGCTGCTGAGCGCTGCTGATCTGTTTTGGAATGAGGGTCAGCTGGGCATGTGTTGACACGGATCAGATGGCACGACGACCCACTTTCCCATCCGGGAACGCCCACTCCTGGCAGCCGAGGGCCCAAACTGGAGAGATAAGGCAGCTGTGGAAAAATGGACCACTGGAGCCATGGCAACAAAGTTTTGTTGTTATGGAGAGAGAGGAAAAAAAAACAAAGTAGTGCAGGTCTCATGATGGGAGTGCTGTGGAGAGAAATGTGAAATGAGACACTGCAGTGAGGCAGATAAAGACAAAACCTTTTCTGGTAAAAAAAAGACTGCCTTCGACTTGGGGTGGGCGATATGACAAAAATATCATATCACGGTTATGATCAACGATATGTATCGCGATTTATTGGTTTTCTCACAAACTACCAGCGAAACATTCCTGTGTTGTTTTGTTTTTTAAACCTGTTCATTGGTTTATTGTAATTTTAATATCACAAAAATGGTGGGGGGATACAAACTTTTGAAAGCATAATCTGTATAAATAAAGTTCTGTTTAAATCTAGAATATTTATGTCACGTTCAGAACGAGTGAGGCAAACGTCTGCAAATTTAACCATTTTGTTCCATGTAGTATTGAAGGAGCTGTGAAACCAAACACACAACAAATCAAATTTCTTTGCATCTTACTATTTTCCTAAGGGTATACAAACTTTTGCACTCAACTGTATGTATTAGACAAGACTTTGTATTAAAGTTAGAGTAGTTAAAGTAACAGACTTCAGACAGGACATGGAATTATTTCTTCTCAAATTGTTATTTATTCTCTCTCTCTCTCTCTCTCTCTCTCTACACACACACACACACACACACATATATATATATATATATATATATATATATATATATATATATATATATATATATATACATATACAGTCAGGTCCGGAAGTATTTGGACAATGACAGAGTTTTTGTGATTTTGCCTTTATACACCACCACAATGGATTTGAAATAAAAAAATCAAGATGTGATCGAAGTGTAGACTTTCAGCTTTATTTTAAGAGGTTCCACAAAAATATGAGGTTCAAAGGTATTTGGACAATTGTCTGACAAGAAGTTAATTGACCAGGTGTGGTCCATTCCCTCATTCCCAATATGAAGTCCAAGGAGATCTCAATGCAAGTGAAGGAGGCCATCATTAGGCTGAAAAAACAACATAAATCTATAAGAGAGAGCAAAAACCTTAGGTGTGGCCAAATCAACAGTTGGGTACATTCTTAAAAAGAAAGAAAGCACTGGTGAGCTCAACAACATCGAAACGCCTGGAAGACCACGGAAGACAACTAAAGTGGATGATCTCAGAGTCCTTTCCTTGGTGAAGAAAAACCCCTTCACAACATCAACAGAAGTCAAGTATACTCTGGAGAAGGTAGGCGTATCATTGTCAAAATCTACAATCAAGAGACGCCTTCATGAATGTAAATACAGAGGGTTTACAACAAGGTGCAAACCACTGGTAACATTCAAGAACAGGAAAGCCAGATTAGACTTTGCCAGAAAACATCTAAAAAAGCTTCCCATGTTCTGGAATAAGATTCTTTGGACTGATGAAACTAAGATTAACTTGTACCAGAATGATGGGAAGAGAAAAGTATGGCGAAAGAAAGGAACAGCTCATGATCCAAAGTATACCACATCATGTGTCAAACATGGTGGAGGCAGTGTTATGGCATGGGCATGTATGGCTGCCAGTGGAACGGGATCACTGGTGTTTATTGATGATGTGACTGCTGACAGAAGTAGCAAGATGAATTCTGAGGTTTATAGGGCTTTACTCTCTGCTCCCATTCAGCCAAATGCTACAAAACTGATAGGACGCTGCTTCACAGTGCAGGTGGATAATGACCCTAAACATACTGCGAAAGCAACTCAAGACTTTTTGAAAGCAAGAAATGGAATATTCTTCAATGGCCAAGTCAGTCGCCTGATCTCAACACAATAGAGCTGCTTTTCACTTACTGAAGACAAGACTGAAGAATGAAGACCCACAAACAAGCAGCAACTGAAGGTGGCTGCAATGAAGGCCTGGCAAAGCATCTCCAGGGAGGAAACTTGACCCGTCCCGGTGCGTTGAGCTGACCAGATGAACCAGTTTTTTCCAGCACTGGCGGTCTTGTGCCAGCTGCTCTGCATTCTCCACAGCAACTCCGTATTGCTGGAGGTCCCCCGCGATGACGTCGAGCCACCAGGTGCGGGGCTTGCCTCGTGGTCGTCTCCAGCCTGCAGCCCTCGGGTCAAACTGGAGAATGGCTTTTGTTGGATGGTATATATATATATATATATGAGAGAGCGAGAGAGAGAGAGAGAGAGAGTAAATAACAATTTGAGAAGAAATAATTCTATTTATTTATTTGTTTGTTTGTTTGTTTGTACAACTTATTTAGCATTTATTTAATTCTGCCTCCTGGTTATTATGTTCTGACATTGAATTTGAAACTAACAATTCTAAAATATATATATATTTTAAATATTGTTAAATGTTTTACAATTAAATATCAGTGTAAACATCTTGTTTTGGAACTACTTCAGATTTTTTATAATACAGTGAAATATCTTGCATATAATGTTATAAAGCTTATAGAAGACATTTAGACAAATAAAACTTAAAAGCATACTCAGTCATAATGTGGTTTTAATAAGCTCAAAATGTCTTTCTCTGCTGAGTTTATGCCACTTATGAATTATCTAATGAGATTAACAGATGAATAAGATTATAAAATACTACTATTGACCTATAAAGCACTAAATGGTCTCGCGCCACAGTCCCTGAGCGAACTTTTGGTCTTTTATGATCCTACTTAGATCAAAAGGTGCAGGCTGTTTGTTGGTACCTTGAATAGTGCATGCTACAGCTGGGGGTAAAGCCTTCTCTTACAAAGCCCCACAGTTATGGAACAGCCTTCCACTTAGTGTTCGGGGCTCAGACACAGTCTCAGTGTTTAAGTCTAGGCTGAAAACATATTTGTTTAGTCAAGCCTTTTGTGAATAGTGTTTTCTTAGGTACAGGGGAAGGTCTGGAGGGTTCACAGGCATAGAGTGTTGTGGTGAACTGGGATGTTTGGATGCTGTCACCCCCCCACTCTCACGCGTTCACTCAGGTTTGTCGACGGTGGAGTGGCTGGCTGCCTTATGTCCCAGGGTGCCCTCATGTTTGTGTTGGTTTCTGGCTCTCTCTTTTAGTTATGCTGTCATAGCTAGTCCTGCTGGAGTCCCTGCTTGCACTCTGCACGCAAAGGACATTGTCCTTAACCATTAGAGGACAAAAGCTTACCTAACAA